GCTCAGGCTTGTAGACACAGAGAGCCTAGATACCACCCCAAACTCCGTAGTGGAGGCAATTGAAGCAAAGGTAACTCTCTATTTTGTGAGGAGACAGCCTACAGCAATCATTCCAAGTCTCCCCAAACACTTAAAAAGGTCCACAAAGTCGTAGCCGCCCCTCTCTATCTCTCAAAGGGATATAAATGTCTTAGATCAAGTACAGAGACGAGCAGCCAAGTGTGCGGTAGGTCTGTAGAATTATGGTCGACTATGATATTAGTACTGCTCTAATAGTAGACCTAATCCTAAAATTGTAGATCGGTTATGATATAACTGCCTAATCTATAAGATCTTACGTGGAAGTCACGTCATCGTCTACCCTGATTCATCACGTTGCAACAATCACCAATACATAATGAGGAACACATTTAGGCTGGAGGTATTTAATATGGATAACAATAATGTAACACAAGTAAGACCACGCCTGCAAGGGCAAGCCATGCCATCCGATCAACTCGAATTAATTCAACTCATTTTTCCCACCTTCTCCGTCATTGGGTTTTTCTCAGCGTTGAATGTTGAACATCTATTTCCCCAATTGTCTGGTGTTCAGCTTTGATGATTGTGTGGTTAGGACCCAATGCCTAAACGGTTCAAAAACACAAATCTTACGAGGACAGACTCCAGCACCTGGAGTCATTCTTCTTTGACAACAGGAAAATTGGACATGGTTTGACAATAGCATACAACATATCAAGTACGCCAAGCCATCCAAACAAGAGCATGTTATCGAAGCACCATGTCCACGCCTCTGACTGCAATACTCGACCGGTTACACATCAACGGGCCAACATCCAGGTACACTCCAACTTATTTTCACAAATAGTTGCTACCACTTGAGATGCTCTCCCAACATAAATGACCACAGCTTCTGAGTGGATAGCTTCAAGACGAGACTTAAACAACAAGCACTTGCCCATGGATTACCATTTCCCGCGTAGATCAGTTACGCCTGATGCATGTCTCATAATTTACCACTGTTATCATTGACACATATCAGTCACTATTTCCTGCATAGTGAAGGTGCCACAGGTCTTCGGAGTTTGACAATGCCTTAGCCACTAATACCTTCTGCTATGAATCGTGCCTATCTAGTGAAATCAAATTACAGAAGCGAGGACGTTCGAAGATGTATTTGATAGGCTATCAATATATCGACAATCGACGGGTGATCTTATCCACAACGCAACCATGTAAACTTAATGTACCGGTCATCTGTGCGTTCAAGTAACCACAGATTTTGTCATTTCATAATGTATTTTTAATTAAATAACTAGATTATATAGCTAATTTTGATCTTTTTTTATTTTTTTATTCGCCACGTTCGACTGCGTTACACTGCACGTCCATTGCATGCTGGGATAATATCTCAAGTCATAGTGAGTTTATTCACATAGTTGATTGTTTCCAGATAGACTGTCAGTGCATGATTTTACTGTAGAAAGGTTTATTGTACTATAAACTATGTTTTTATGAACAACTACCTGTTGTTTTCAGTCGGAAAGCAATATATATATCTTGTCTTCTGTTCGGTAAGTTCAATTGGCCTATATTTCGTGTTTTTGTTTTATCGTCTTAATTATGTCCATTTAACTACTTTAAGCAATATGCCTGTGCAAATGAAACAATAACTATGACACTTGCTTAGTTTAGTATTCTTGGTTGTCGTATAATTCAGTTTAGTTGAAAGAATTATGGTATAGTGCTTGAAGTCTGTAACGAAACAGATCAGCTTAGTAAGTAGAGTTGCCTGTTTCTGATGAGTATACTGATTCAAATCAGTCTGATTAAAAATAGGAAAAAAGTGCTTTTGGTACTGTTGCTGTTATACATTATAAGATAGCGATAAGTATGTTTGGTGTTTATTTCTAGATTGTACATCTATCACTGACCATATTTCATGATCACTGTCATTAAACAATTTCCCCAGCAATAATATCGGTAGCAGGATAGCTAAGTGTCTGAGCTTTTATTTGCCCACAGAAGAGCAGTATACAGTCTTAGAAGATGAGTAGTCTGTATCTCAATTAAATGCAGTTGGCTGTGGACAAATGTTAAGAATCTTTTTGACTACTAGGACTTTTAGTTCATCAAACACTAACTCTGCTTGTATGTCTCCCTGTTAAACTAGATGCAGATACATGGTAATACTTAAATGAGAGCAAAATAATAAAAGCATTGAGATACGGTATTAAGTCCATGTTATGCTTTGCACAATAAATAGCTGACCTGACCTAATATTCATGAACTAAAGGTAAATCACAACTGCATAAATTCTTTACTAAAATACATGTAATTTGGTTATTTATCTATTCCACATTTCTGACTAAATTCATTACTGTTTTCTCATTTACAATGCAACAGGACTGAGTCTTCACAGATGTTAAGAACTGTTTCGCCCTTAGAACTATGGCCCTATGGATCTGTTTACGGGAGACCCAACTAACACCAGATCATAAAAAGAATGCTGGATGTCCATTTTAATCTCACAACCACTTCCAGTACTTTTTGAGTTACTTCTTTTACCCTTTCGTTTGGAAAAAACAACAAAAACTGCAGCTTAACATTACAAATGCAACTTTTAGACTGGAACTTGGTTTAAACCTTTGTTTCATATTCGATTCTTAATGAAAGTTCTCGAATAAATTTTTGAACCTAATGCTACTTTGTTTTATCTACTTAATCGTTGCAAGAAACTTGTGATAATCGAGCCTCTCATCACCTAATTCATGTGTTCAGGCTTCCGTGTCTATTAGCAGGGGAACACCGAAGCCTCCAAGCAGGAACCTAGGTATGTTAACAATAAAAGATCCAGTCGCCTCCCAAATGACTCCTGGGAAGTCGCTTGGACTAGTTCGGCGGGCAGCGAATTCCAGCATTTGACAATTCTTAAGTAGTAGAAGTTGTGTCAACATTCCGTCTTGCTATGTTGAGTTTCCAGTTTCTGGGTGTTACCTCTTAGGTTATTATTCGAACTAAGCTTAAGTAGGTGTTTAAGAGGATGTCCAGAAGTGTTAAAGATCCTGTAAGTAAATAGGTCACCTCTAAAACGTCTATACTTTAATGAGTAGAGGTTAAGTGATTGGAGGTGCTCTTCATAAGGTGATTTGGTGCATATCTCCGTCACTTTCTTGTGAAACCTACAGGCTCGGGTCCTCTCACAACTTACTCTAGCCACCATGAGTTGACAGGAAAACTGATGGATGGACACGCGTTACACATCCTAACCGTCCCTGCATCTAATCTCATAGCTCCTTATTCAAATGTCATATGATAAGCAAGTAATGCTTCTACCGACACTAATGGAACACGAGTAATTCAAAAGCACCCTGTATGGTACTTTACATTGGTCTACGCACTCACTTAGCTCTTTAGTGAGAATATTACTACAGTCCTGCTAAAAAACCCATTAACCCCCCTACCACCATCAAAACAATAAGTCTGTATTTGCTGCATATAGCAATTTTATTTTTCAGAAGATATAACAGTAAGAATTGGAGTAAAATAACAATATACAACAGATGCACGTGGTACATGTCTTCATCGATCAACTGAAATAGAGAATACGGATATTAGCTTAACATGCTTATTTAGAAAGACTAGTGTTTACTTTGAACTTACTGCGTGAGAAAGTTATACTGGAACTGTGAATAATGTAGGAATCTAGTCTCCCAGGGCGTACGAAGCACTCAAACTGGAAGACAGTTGTCACAAATTAATTCAAATATGAAGTTGAGAATTTGCAGGTACTTTTCATCGTAAAGGTGAACATATTAGATAACGGTTGACATCATACCGTAAAAATAACAAATTTGCGAGTGGTGAACTATGGACTATAAAAAGCTGAGCTTAATAACATTTAGTTACCTTTTTACTCCCTGATCATGACCCTTCGGCTTCCTTTTGTGGCCAAAACACCAAACATACACTACACATTGATAGCAGATTTCCGGCTTCTCAATGTTAAGCTTGCTTTAACGCACTACGTAATTCGTACAACCCCTCCATTACTGCTATGTGGCATATTTTTTCATAACAAACCCTCTGCAATATATTGGTAGCATCTGTGGTTGTCGGAAGCCTGGATACTTTCGAAAACAATACTGACATCCCCTACTGCTAGGCACTAAGTATTAGTTTGACTCATTGGTGGGATATAGTTGTCCGCAATACTGAGGAAAAATAAAAACTGGAAATTGTTTCCTTTCATTTTGCCGATAACATCATAAAGGAACGAACATGCGGACAGTTAGTCACAGGAGGCAGCAACAGTTATTTCAGCTAAGAAAAAACGAACTTCGGCTTTGGATATCTAGAAAACAAGTCAAAACAAAACCGATTTCCATTTTGAAACATAAGACTAACCAGCTTGACTGAAGAAATACATTGACAAGGTGCCAACTAATAGACTGCTATTGAAGTTGGCAAACCTTGGTATTGCCGGACCTCTTTTAAAATGGATTAAGGATTTCCTAGTAGGTCGTAGGCAAAAAATAAGAATAAATTCCAAGTGCTCCACCTGGAGACCAGTACTTAGTGGGGTACCTCAAGGTTCAGTCCTAGGTCCTTTACTTTTTATATTGTACGTTAATGATCTTACAAGTGTAGTACAGTCTCCAATGTTATTATACGCTGACGATGTAAAAATTTGGCGAGTAATAACTGGAGAAAAAGACGCATTTACTCTTCAGGCGGACTTAAATAATATGATAAACTGGTCTAAAGAGTGGCTGATGCCTGTCAACTTGGAAAAGTGTGTCTACATGCACTTAGGGGATTCAAAGGTTAATACATACAACATAGGGGATGTGTCATTGCCCGTAGTTCGGTCTCATAAGGATCTAGGGGTGACAGTGAGCAATGATCTTAAGACGACGGCCCATTGCCGGGAGGTCGCGGTTAAGGGGTTTCGAACCCTCTGGGCTTTAAAAAGGACATTCACTAAGTTTGATACTACCATGTTCACCACATTATACACATCCTTAGTGAGAACTAAGTTAGAGAACTGTGTTAAGGCTGCAAGCCCCTGTTTAAAAGGTGACTCAGACATACTAGAAAAAGTGCAGAGGGCAGCTACGCGTGCGATTCCGGAACTCCGGGGTTTATCATATAAAGAGCGGCTTGAAAAACTGAACCTCTTTACTCTGTCCTATCGCAGACTAAGGGGAGATCTAATATTGATGTACAGAATATTGAGACATGATTTCGGACCTAACTTATTCTCTCTTTTTCTTCCCACTAGATCGGGACACCTCAGAGGACATAGCAGGCGAGTAGAAAAGCCAAGAACGAACAAAATACCCGTGGCATACAGGTTTTCACACCGAGTCATCAATACTTAGAACCTGCTGCCTGAAGCAGTGGTGTCCGCACCTTCAATTGATTCTTTCAAGAGAAGACTGGACACTCACAGAAGCATACTAGAAAAGGAATAACATAGGCTGTAGGCCTTCTGTCCTTACCACACAAATCTGAAGCAGCAAAAACCCAAAAAACAATGCCGATTCGAAGTAAATTTCACACCACCATGTAGAACATTACACTAACTGCGGCATCTTAGCACATTGAAACATTAATTACATAGCTACACAAAAGAAATAGCTAAAAGAAGCACAGAACGAAGAAAGCCGACCACCATTACGTACAAAGATGGCTGACATAATAATTCCCGCCACATTCTGATTGGTTGCTAAGCTGAAGGGCACATTTACGAAATTGAGTTGCGTTTAATTGCAGCCCAATCGACTGATCTAATCTGGCTGGCGATTGAAGGGGATGTTGAGCACGGTGTTCCCACACGTGATCTAGTGTGAATGCCTAAACTAGCCCCTCCAGCTAGGTTAGTCTATTAAGACTAATGTGGTCAGCATAAAATGTCGACGACTTACAGAGCTATTTATTTTAGGGATTCATTTGCCGCTACAATCATCTTCACGTATCTTAGATTTTTAGAGTGCGTTCATCCTACAACGTCTTCGTTACCGGTCAATTAACCTATTTATCAACTTGTTTGCTGAGATAATCGCATTCTCTTAACATGCGAATTTTTTATTCAATTATTTTCACATTGCAATCAACCAACCTCCCTTGTAATGTGATAACTACATGTTCGAGGAACCCTAATGACCTGAGATAGACTGTGGTGGACCAAACAGATATGAACACAAAAAATATAAACAAAGTTATTAAAAATCAATAGTAATATTAATATATATAATTAATTGTCACAAATGCAATAAAAATTGGGAACGTTACTTAAATTGATCAGACGTCGCGTGTTAGGATTAGGTCCAGTAAAGTAAATCCACAATTATAAATGTTTGTTGATTCTGAACAAGTTGGTGAACTCTCTAATGATATAATCCAACGTTGAATGTGATATATTTCGGTTACAGTCTATAAATGAAGATAGAATTTGATTTAGACTTCGGATATCTCAATCACAAATGGAAATAGAACGATGAGTGTGCGAGAAGCATTGTATTTGTTAGCCAGCAGCGATATGTCACGCAATGTAGTAGTACAACGGAAAGTGTGTTCATGGTCATTTACTAAAACAACAGTTACAGTCATTTAATGTTAAATATACATACTGTGGAAGGTTGACCAAGTAAATACAAATAACATTGAAAACTATTTACAAAATAAGCTTGTCAGGTCCATCTCCACATAGCTCCCCCCAGAGTGTCCGGAGGTAACACTGGTTATAATAGAAAAAATGTAATGGTGTGATATATACATGTATACAAAAATAATATTTACAGTTATAACCAACAAAAATGTGGAGATGAGTATGACGTGTAGTAGAGATGTAGCATAGTATAATGAGCACACACACACAAAAAAATGAAGACACTGTCATTTAATGCCTTGGTTGGCTGACAATGATAATAATAATGTGTAAAAATGCTAAAGAGCCAAAAAAAATTGAACTGTTTATGTTTGTGTAAGATAAATGAATAACTAAACAGAGTTTACTCGTTTATTAGTGTGACGAAAACAAAACAAAAAATTTTTTAAAAAAAAAAAACTGACAAAACGAGTAATTGTGGAAAAATGTGATTATGTACACTGTGAAAAGGAAAAAAAAATTTGGGTGAAATTAGTAGTGTGTGGTATAGATAGGTGTCTGCTGTGCTTTTTTTTTTTAATCGACGAAATGGACATAACGCTTAGGTTTGTTTATAGGTCTACCGGAGCGTGTTAAACAAGGGGGCTTAGTATTAAGTTTTTTATCCTCCACTGGTTTTTCAGTCGCTGGTGAGAGGGGTTGATTATCAACAGTGTTGTCTTCCTTGACTTGAGTAGCTTCACAGAAAGCGGGTTTTATTCTGTCTATAGAAATAGTCTGCTTGTTGCCATCTCTGTTGATGATGAAGTATTTTTGTGTGCGTTTAATTACTTTATATGGACCTTTATATGGTTGTTTCAATGGTTTTTTAACCGTATCTACTCGAACAAAGACAAATTTGCACGTTTCAAGGTTTTTATCAAGTTGGACTCGATTGTTGTGTTCACGAGGGGGTATTGGTTTAATATTCTGCATCGTTTGTAATAGGCGACTTGCGAAGTGAGTAGTCTCTCCTGGCGTTGTAGGTTCATAGTTGACTAGTTGACCAGGTAACGCTAGAGTTGTACCATAGACTAACTCGGCGGCTGTACATCCAATGTCTTCCTTTATGGTTGAACGAATACCGAGGAGTACAAGTGGTAATGCGTCACTCCATTTGGTTGTATCATCTTGGGCCATCAGCGAGCTTTTTAATTGGCGATGAAATCTTTCAACCATGCCATTAGCTGCTGGGTGGTAAGCTGTTGTTTTGATGTGGTTCACGCCCAGAAGTCTTGTAAATTCCTGAAACAAGATAGACTGAAACTGGGGACCACGGTCTGTAGTGACGATAGAAGGTACTCCGTAATTTGCTATCCAACGCTCAAGGAAAACGCCAGCTATCGTTTCTGCGGAAGTGTCTTTTATAGGGCAGGCTATGGCCCATCTTGTAAATCTGTCTACTGCGGTGAGAATGTGGGTAAAGGAATTGGACGGGGGCAGTGGCCCAACTAAATCCAAATGAATATGTTGAAAACGTTTGTCGGGAATAGGAAATTCGCCGATCGGGCTGATAGTATGTTTTTGTATTTTGCTGCGTTGACACTGGAGGCAGCTACGTGTCCAACGCTTAACGTCCGAGTTGATTTTCGGCCACACAAAACGTTCAGTGATGAGCCTTGTTGTTGCTCTGATGCCTGGATGTGAAAGACCGTGTAAGTGCTGAAATATTTTTCGTCTGCAGGCATGTGGGACAAACGGACGATTGTTGCCTGTTGAGGTGTCACACATGATGAATGCATCTGAAAGAGGAATTGGTACAGGTTTGAGGTTTAAGCTAGACTTTTCTTTGCAGACTTTCAACTCTGCATCGTCTACTTGAAGTTTAGCCAAAGTTTCAAGGCTGATGTCATGATTGCGTACCATCATATTGATATCTCTCCTAGACAGTGCATCAGCGACAATGTTTGAGTGACCGTTGATAAACCGGATGTCTGTAGTGAATTGGGAGATGTAATCCAATTGTCTTGCTTCTCGTGGCGAGTGTTTGTCATACGATGTGCCAAAAGAATGGCAAAGGGGTTTATGATCCGTCATAATGATGAAATCGCGACCCTGTAACAGAAAACTGAAATGTTTTACCGCTAAATACATAGCCAAGAGTTCGCGTCCAAAAGTGCTATAACGTTCTTGTGTTGGTGATAATCTCTTGGAGAAAAAGGCGATTGGGGTAATCGAGTTGTTTACTCGCTGTTGTAATACCGCCCCGACGGCTTTTTGTGAAGCATCTGTGCATAGGATCAACTGTGTTGTGGGGTCAGTATTTAGATGTTGAAGCATGGTAGCATTAGCAATCATGGATTTAGCTTTTTCGAATGCTACTTTAGCATCAGAAGGTAACTTAAATATTTGGTTTTTTTCTTTCTTGGTACCTGATTTATCATTTTTCAGTAAATCTGTCAATGGCTGTAGTACATCGGCGCAATTTGGTAGAAATCGACGATAAAAATTGCATGTTCCCAGAAAACGACGTAGTGATTTTACTGAGGTTGGTTCTGGGTAGCTGGAGATGGCTTTGACTTTTTCTTCAAGCGGTTTAATTCCTTGGGAATCAATATGGTGTCCTAGGAATTCCAGAGATGAGGCTCCAAATATGCACTTCGAAGGGTTGATTACAACACCATAACTTTTGAAACGTTCAAAAAGCGTGTGTAAATGCTGGACCTGTTCTTCAGTGGAAGAACTAGCGATTAAAACGTCGTCGATATAGACAAATACAAATTCCAAACCTCTAGTTACTTCATCCATATATCTCTGAAAGGTTTGAGCGGCGTTTTTTAGTCCGAAAGGCATCCTCAAAAATTCAAACAAGCCAAAAGGTGTAATTACAGCTGTTTTTTCGATATCTTCAGGCGCCATCGGTATTTGATGGTATGCTCGGACTAGATCTAACTTTGAAAAAATCTGTTTTCCATGTAAATTTAAAGAAAAATCATGTAAATGAGGGATTGGATACCTGTCTGGGATAGTCTGGTTATTTAGTCGGCGATAATCTCCACATGGGCGCCAGTCTTGATCTTTCTTGGGAACCATATGCAACGGCGAGGCCCAAGGACTGTTAGATTGTCTGATTATCCCAAGCTGCATCATGTGTTCGAATTCTCTCTTAGCGAACTGCAACTTGTTTGGAGGGAGTCTTCGCGCCCTGGCACGAATGGGTGGTCCTGTAGTAGAGATATTGTGTTGAACATGATGTGTGGAGCATTCGTTTTGGTAATCAGCTCTGGTTATGCTTTCGTACTTCGTCAGGATATCAGTGAAAATTTTGTTTTCAGGTCTTAACATTCGAACGCCATGAATTTCGTAATTCGAGGCAGGAGTGCCACTGACCTGCAAACTTGTGTTCTTGTCAATAAGCTTCTTTTTCCCCATGTCTACCAATAGGCTGTAAGCACCAAGAAAGTCGGCCCCGAGAATGGGTTGTTTAATTTCAGCTACGATGAAAACCCATGTGAAACGTCTACGGAGACCAAAATCTAAGATGAGTGATTGTTCACCATAAGTTTTAATGACTGTGTTATTAGCAGCGACTAGAGACAATTTAGTACTTTGCGAGTGCCGTCGTTGAGAAAGGTGTAATGGGACTATGCTGATTTCGGCTCCTGTATCGACCAAAAAATCTGAGCCCGAAATCCGATCCCTGACGTGAAATAGACGGCTCAACTAAAAGATATGCAAATACACAAATGACTAGTAGAGTGGTTAGAATTGATGCAGTCAAATGGTTATATT